CAGAAGGCCCAGAGCTCATAGGCCCTGATGGCCCCCGGGCCAGGGCTGGAGCAAAGGAGCTCCCTCAGTTATGGGTGAGCTGGGGCTCTGGGCGGAGGACAGGACTACTATGGGGCCTCAAGCCTGGAACAATCTGCCTTGCAGTTTGCCTTTGAAGACTTGGCAATTTCCTCAGTGTTGGGACTCTGGGGAGGTGGAGCCCCCCTGGGAAGGATCGGCAGATGCCTGCTCCTTTGGGAAGACATGCAAGTGTCTCACACTGCAGCACCAGTGCAGCAAGAAGCAGGTCCAAGAGGAACATGTCTCAAGGCACCCAGCCTGCCTCCTATCCTCCTGTCTCTTGGCCAGGACCAGCACGGGCCACCCTCAACAAATCTGCTCCTGTGGGCCCTGCCTTCGGCTTCCTTACTCTGGGACCAACAATGAGGCCTCTGGCAAGGCAGCGGGCTTGAATTAGGGCCAGGGATCACTTCTCGGCCTTTTGGCTAAGATCAAGTGTTGAATTAGGGCCAGGGACATCCGTCCTGTGGCTTGCCTTGCCCTGGTGGCTCAGAAGCATTCCTTGTGTGACAGTCCTTCCTGTGAACCCCAGAATTGCTGGATGTGGGGCAGCTGCTGAGCCCTGCTAGATTCTGCAGCTAATACAGGAAAGGGGAATTTGCTATAGTGACGTGAGGAGGCAGCTCACAGACTTCAAAGCCTGGAGACAGTCTAGCCAGAGCTCTAGGCCAGGGATCCTAGAAGCCACCTCCTGGGCTCTTGGGAGACCGTGACTCTCTCCATGCTTTTCCCTGGGGATTTGCTCAATCTGTCAGCCTTGAAGGTTCGAGGTTCCTGATTTTGTTTACACCAAGAACATTCTTTGGTGCAGACCCTGAGAGACAAGTACCTTGCTTTTGGGAGTCACTCAGGCTGGGCCCTCATTTTCTGAGCAAGGGCTCAGAGGAAGAGAGGATGGGTTTGCAGTGCAGACCCCGAGATGGAGCCACTTCTCACTTATGGCAGGCCAGAAGCACCAGCATCTGCCTCATTGACTCCTGTGTATGTTTTAGATAAGGGCCACTTTGGCTCCAGGCTGGGACCTTCTTCCTTTTGACTAGCAGTCTCAAATGCAAGGGACCTCTCATCTCCCAGGTCTGATTTTGCAGTCTGTCCTCCTGAATCCAGTTAGGGATCCTCACCAGAGCCCATGTTTTGGCCTTATTGAGGACGTTTAGGACGTTAGCATAAAGATAGGGAGGGTTTAGGTATCCTAAGGGCTGAGGCCTGGGTTGAGTTGCTTTGGATTGGGTGTGCCTTAGTCTGTTCTGCATGCTGTAACAGGACACTTCAGACTGGATAATTTGTAAACCACAGAGATTTATTGCTTATCGTTTCAGAGAATGGGAAATTCAAGATCGAGGTGTTTGCAGAGTCTGTCTGGTGAGGGCTCATCTCTGTCTCAGAGATGTCACCTTCTTGCTGTGGCCTCACATGATGGGAAGGCCAAAGGGCACTAAGTCCTGTTTGTGAGGTCAATCCTTCATGAGTTGGTCACAACCCAAAGACTTACCTTTTAGCCCTTCCACACTGTGTATTAGGTCCCCGGAGGGACACTGAAGAGCAGGGTATAAGGGCTCTGTCCCTGGGGCCATGGTCCTAGGAATGGGCAGCACTTCCTACAGCTCACACTGCTTAGCCCCCCTGCTTGAGTGATGTAGCAGGGACATCTGGGTTTGTGGGGCCCCTGAGTTCCTTGTAGCCCAGAGACCCTTGGCATTCCCTGCTCAGAGCCAGCAGCGGTGAGAGGTGGCAGCAGCCCTGTGGTGTGCCACTTGCCACCAGAGAGCACATTCCCTGAGCGGGGAGCAGGTCTGTTTGAGGTCACCATTGAAATGTGTACCGTGCATATTTTCAGCTCTATGTGCACTGCAGGGACCTGGCATGTGTGCTGCGTGTGCAGCTTCATACTTGGTGGGCTGTGTAATGCGTGGAGGTGTTGCCAAGGGCAGCGGAAATGTGGAGTATTTCCAGCATAATCATATGAATCCTCAGCACCACCCTCCTCTGCCACCCTATGGCCAGGGTGCTCCCACCTTGGGAGTTACTGGGGCCAGCTGGGATCGGAAGCCAGTTGCTCTGTCCTAACTGACCAGTTCATTGCTTTGTTCCTCTGGATTCTTGAGGACAGAGGTGTCTAGGGGGTCCTCAGTGTTTCATCCTCAGTATTAAGCAGGTCCCTTCAGGCCTGTGCTGGCTGTGGGGAGGGAGGGGATGGGCTGCCCCTAGTGTCCTGTGGGTTTTGCAGGACATTCACCAAGAGGAGAGATGCCTGGGGTGGGGTTAGACTTCCACCATGAAGGGCCGTGTTCTGCCGGGTCTCCTGGGGCACTAGTCCGAGGCTAGACCTTTTCCAGTCAGCTTTCACTCTGACCAGCTCTTCTCAGCCAAGTTGAGAGACCCCAGCAGCATGCCTCGAGTCCAGTTCCTTGAGCTGCCAGACAAGGTACCACAGGTTGCGTGACATCAAAAATCAAAATGAATTTTCTCACAGTTCTGGGCCCAGCAGTCTGAGATCAAGGTGTAGACCTGGTTTTGTGCACAGCCTCACTCCGTGGCTTGTAGATAGGTTCTTCTCTGTGTTCTCAGGTGGTTGCCCTGTGTGTCTGTGTCCTAATCTCCTCTTTTTATAAGGACACCAGTCATATTGGATCAGGCCCACTCTCAGGACCTCATCTTCGTTACTTCTGTAAAGACCCCGTCTTTAATATAGTCACTCTGTAAAGTACACAGGTTAGGGCCTCAGTGCATGAACATGGGGTGGGGTGTGTGGGTTCAGCCCACAGAACCAATCAGTGCTTAGGGCTGGGATCAAAGCTGCATCTTCCAGGGGCCCCAGCCAGCGGTGGCTCTGCAGCAAGCTGGGGAGGCTGGCCCACCCCTGCTGGCTGGGGGACACTGTGGCTGGGCCAGAGGTCTGAGGTGCCATGTAGGGGAATGGCCGTGGCCTGAGGGAGGCCCATCCTGTATTCAGCTCAGCCTTGGGGAGAGGAAACCGGGGCTCTCAGGGATACCAGGTGGCTTCCCCATTGCATAGCTGAAGGGCACTCAGTTGCCACGGTGACCTCCATCTGCACAGTCAAATACACACAGCCCAGCCACTTCTCTGGACTGGAGGGCTCCCCGCCCCCACCCCTCAGAGTTCACACTGAATGTTGAGTCCCTTGGTGACAGAAACATGGAAACGGTTGCCATGGCAGCCATTCTTTGGAGCCCTCAGACTGGAGTGCAAAGTTCAGGATGCCCAGGAATAGCTGAAATGAAAATACAGGAAAGTCTGCCCTTTCCCTTCCCCAGGAGGATGGTTTGACAGTGTTCAGTATACCCCAGGGCCCTGCAGTCCCTGCCCCTCCTGTCACCCTGGGCCAGTCCCCGGGGAGTGAAGGTGGCAGAGTGGCCCCTAGAGACAAGTCACAGGGATGGGGATGTGGCTCAGTGGGAGAACACTTGCCTGGCACGTGCAACTCCCTGGGTTTCATCCCCAGCACCACACAATAGAGAGAGAAGCCAGACAGTGCAGGAGGGCAGGCAGGGCTCTGGTTGGGCCTATGCCTAGGGCTGCATGGTAGGGGTCTGCTGAAACCACTGAGCCACCTGTGTCTTAGTTTCTTCAGGCTGCTTCCTTCCTATTTCTCAGGAGGGTTCAAGTGTACTCGGTGGCCAGGGAAATCCTCAGGTCCACAGGGAGCGTCTCTGCTGAGTGGGATAGAGGGTACGGGGTGTGGAGAGTGGCTCAGCAGGGCAGGCCCCTTTTGACTGTGAGGATGAGGAAGATGGCTGCTTTCTGTGAGTGGAGGTGAGTGCACTGAGGCCTTTTCCAAGTACCCCTAGGACCAGTGGGAAGTGTCCCTCAAGCCCCAGCAGTTTCCCATAAGGCTCTGGTGACCTCACTGAAGGGTCTACAGTCAGGGTTTGGGAAACAAAGTAACACACACATGATTCAGAGATTAAAGGTCCTGAAAAGTTTTGCAGGAGTTGACTTTGGTCAGATAGGTTTTGGAAGCACCAGGTTAAACAAAGTCCCCACCCCTTTTTAAAGCATTTCTTCCTGTTTTTAGAATGTCCCTCAGTGTCCCGCAGAAATACAGTAGTGTCTGTTACTGTGCACTGGATCCTCCATGGCTGATGGGTCAGCAGCATCAGCACCCTGGGAGTGTGTGAGAAATGGGTGCTCTGGGCCCACTGTAGTTAAACTGAATCAGAAACCCTTGGATGGCCCCACAGTGTGTTTGCAGAAGCCTCCAGGGGATTCTGATGAATGTTTCAGTTTGAGAAACAACCACCCCCACCCCCACCCCGGGTCCAGGGAAGGTGCTGACAGGGAATCTGGCTGAGGTGGCCTGGGGAAACTGGGCGGATCAGGGGGAGGCAGCCTGGCAGGGATGTGACAGTTCAGGCATGTGGGGCAGGAGGAACAAGGACCTGGGACTCCAGAAGAGGCACTGGGGCCGCCTTGAAGGGAAGTTCAGTCCTTCACACTCTGGTATTGAGGCTGGGTCAAGATCAGACCTGTGTGTCCATGAGCGTCATGAGGTTCGGTGTCCAGTGAGGGCTCTGGGAGGTGCAGACATCAAGGAGGGTCTCTTCTGCAGCCTTCGAGGAGTGGCCAGCACTGCTGTCTGGGCACCTGCCTTGAGGGTGGAGTGTGGTCATCTCTAGGTCGTCCCCCGCCCTAGAGAGATAGTGGATCTTTAAAAAGCCAAAAAGGTAGTGTTGGGTGGCATCTTCACAGTAAGCAGAAGGTGGGGCTTCTTGTCATGGCCTTGGCCCAGGTCTCAGCAGGGGTGGCTGTGAATCACCCTTGCTCCTACTCACCTACTGCCTCTTGGGTACCTTCTGCAGTTACTGCTTTGGTCTCCTTTTCCTTTGCCCCAGGCCCTGGGAGAGGGAGGAGCAGGGCTGGAGCCCCAGGCCTTGCTCTCCCACCTGTGGCCCACCTGCTGGCCTGTGCTTCCTTGCAGCCGTCCAGATCCACATCCTGAAGGCAGACAAGGCAGGGGACTGGTGGAAGTTCACAGTCAACATCATCTCCGTGTACAAGCAGGGCACGAGCCGCATCCGCCGCGGTGACCAGAGCTTGTGGATCCGCTCCCGTGATATCGCCTGCAAGTGCCCCAAAATCAAGCCCCTCAAGAAGTACCTGCTGCTGGGCAACGCTGAGGACTCGCCTGACCAGAGCGGCATCGTGGCAGACAAGAGCAGCCTGGTGATCCAGTGGCGGGACACGTGGGCACGGCGGCTGCGCAAATTCCAGCAGCGGGAGAAAAAGGGCAAGTGCAAGAAGGCCTAGCGTGGCGCAGCAGGGCGCCACGGCCGGGTGAGCGCGAGCAGGCGGCCGCGGTGGACTTTTGGCCCAGGAGGGCTTTTCCAGGTGGGGGGAGGGGGGCGGGGCCAGAGCCGGCGTGGGGCGGGGCCCTCAACGGCCCCTCCCCCAGCCCCACCCTGTGCGCCCCTGGCGGGAGCTGCGTAAACACACACCATGCAGATTGCCAACGCAGGGTGCAGGGTGCGCAACAGGCCAGGCCCTAGAGAAATGAGGACGAGACGTAGCTACCTCACGGGGCTCCTTCCAGAGCTGAGATGTGCTTCCCTAGGGCTAGGTGGGGTCACCGTGGAGGGGCTGGGGGCAGCCTTCCCTGGTGCCAGGGGACAGACACAGAATGGCACAGGCAGGCCACAGACGCAGGTCGTTGATGGTTATGGAGAAGGGGACATGAGGAGAACTGTGAATTTTTAGGTCCGCAGCCTGGACAGGGGTGCTGAGCAAGTAAACTACCACCCCAAGCCAAGAGACAAAGTCCCTCCTTTTCCCCTGACTCTCTGCTGTCTAGGAATCCCCACAGGGTGCCTAGCTGTGACAACTTGGGCCCCATCTGAAGAGGCTGGGGTGGCACTGCAGGGGGTCTGTCCAGCCAGCGTTCTGCATGTCAGCCTCTGGTCTGCATGGCCACCTGCTGGGTTGGTTCGCCTGCTGGGTGGAGGGTGTGGGAAGGGGGTTCATCTGTGGGGAAAGGTGAGGCTCCCGCTGGTGCCTGCCCTATCTAGCGGGGGGGGGGGGGCTGGCCCATGCCTCTGGCTAGTCCAGCAGTGGGCCCAAAGACACCCCTGAGAAGCCCAAGCCGGGTGGTCACTGCCTCACGCTGGAGCTGCCTGTGGGAGGAGGCATTGCAAAGGCAAAACCTCCCAGAGAGTTTCCTTTCTGGAAACTTGGAACCAGCCCCTTTAATGACATTTTCCAGGGGAGAGGGAAGGGGCACGGGGCACTGGCTGGGTTTACAGCAATGACACTATTTGTGTAATGACATCAGCTCCCACAAGGCCCCTCAGCAGTGTCAACAGCTGGAAAGGGCCTGGACAGGCAGGGTATGCAGCGGCAGGGCGGGCCTTGGGGGAAGGGGCTTGCTGGAGTCAGGACAGGCTTTGCTGGCTTAGCGAAGTGCTGGGGTGCCTAAGCCACAGGTGGGCAGGGCCAGGAATGGCCAGGTTCCTGGGAGCCATGGAAGCCTCGACCACTTCCTGTTGCTGCCCTCACTGTTGGCTTCCAAGGGAAAAGACGAGGCTACTGGGCTAAAATAGCCTGCTGCAGTCACCCTGGGGGCTGTCATTGTCTAGGCTGGGTAGCACCTCACCCGGTCCTTTCAGGGCATCCTCTTTGAAGAGCCCCCCCCCCACCGCCAATGTGCCCAACCCCTTGTCAAACCCTTAGAGACTGTTCTCAAGCAAGCGGCCCCCAGCCTTTTGGTCTGGTTGTCTTGTGGGACCTATTCCTGTGCTCCAGAGCCGCGCGGCTCCCTGCCTTCCTGAGCTGTGCACTATGCTGGGCCTCTGGCCCCATCCAAACACCCGGCACACAGAATGAGAAGCCTGGCTCCCTCTCAGGCAGGAAATTGGTTTCATTTTCCCTGCCAGAGCTTGGCTGCTCTGTATACCAAGAATGAAGCTTAGCCCCTTGGCGATTGGGATTCCCTCTGCTTCCCTTACTTCTGCCCACGTCACCACTGCCATTTATGCAGCACCTGCTTTGTGCCAGGCACTTTATCCCCACACTTCCAGCCTGTTCTCATGACAACCCCGTGGGGATTCTCAACCGTTTTCCACCAGGGAGGGAGCTGGTGTACACTTGCCCAAGGTCATGCTGCAAGTGTGTGGCAGCACTGGGTCGAAGACCCCAGAACCCGCCCCAGCTGCCACCTGCCCTCAATTCCTGTAGCAGGCTGCTGCCTACACCATGGCACCTGCCTCCTGAGGACCTCCGAGCTGGCCTAGAGACAGGAGCCTGGGGTGGCGTAGAAACACGCACAATGTCTTTAGGAGGGACAGCCAGAGTGGTGGGTGGCTTCATCTGAGGGGAGCCCTGGGAGACCCCATGTTCTAGGAAGGCAGGCCTCAGTTCTGAGAAGTGGTTTGGCTGCTCTGAGTGTGGGGCCTAAGGCTGGAGGGATTCTAGGAGAGACTGGCAGAGATGCCTCTGGAACAAGGAGAAGACAACTGCCCTAGGGAGGGGCATTTGCTCCCTGAAACCCAAGCCTAAGGCTGGAGGACAAGGACCTCTCACCAGGCTCTAGGCCTAGCATCCTGCTGCTGGAGCAGTTGTCCTGTTTCTGTCTATATCACCTTACCTAGAAGGACTATGGCAGCCCCAGTACGCCGACTCTGGGTCTGGGTGTCATCTCCAGTGAGGACCCCTCAACGGTGGAGCCAGGGGCCTGCACAGCAATAAGGCATCTTGCTGATAATCAAACCAGCCTCCAGCCTTGCCTTCTGGCTCAGCCACCCCTTTCCTCAACAGGGCAAAGGCCATCCACCCAGTGGTGTGGCCCTGGAGGGACTGTGGCAGGGTGGTCAGATCAGCCAGGTCGGGGATATGGTGACTGTTGGGATTGCAAAGTCCATCCCAGGCTGCCTCCCTCATCTTGTGTACCCAGCCAGAATCCAACCCGCCACTCCTCTGCTTCCAGCCTCTGACCTCCATGGTAAGGACCCAGCCTCAGCAAAGCAGCTGCCTTTCCGCTCCGCTCCCACCCCAGGGAGGAGCTATGGAAATAAGAATCAAGGTGTTGCAGTTCCAGTTTGTACAGTTAGAAAGGGATGTAAAACGGAATTAGATTTTAATTTTAAAGAGTATATTAACCAGAACTGTGATACGTAGGTTTTTGAGGACCAGATTAGTCTTTTTTCGTTTTTTAAAACGGCTTCCCAGGGCCTCTTGTCCCTTTTACCAGCTGGGCGGTCTGGTGCTCCTGACAGCTGAGTACCTGCTTTACTGATGCACAGAAACTCAAAAGGTGTGAGGTGGAGGGAAGGGGGAAGGAAACAGGCTGCCCCCCAGAAGCACCTGCAGGCTGTGGCCTCTGCTTACAGCTTCTGTACTTGGAAAGCAAGGTGGGAGGCAGCAACCACAGGTAACCTCAGCTGGGAGGGAAGGACACCTGTGGGGTCAAAGCCCAGAGAGGCTGGGAGCTGCCCCAGTAATATGCAGGAAATGAGTACAGACTTTGTTGGAGTTGCCCCAGGTTGGAATGAGACCGGAATCAGAAGAGACCCTTAGGGACTGGGAAAAAGTTCCTTTGGGGTTGCAATACTTGAAGGACCCCTCCTTTCCCGGAGCCTAGAGAGAGAGCAAAATAGACTCACTGATGTGCCACGGTTCAGGACAGTCATTCCTGTAGACCACAGCCACGCCATACCCGGGGTACAAAAACTGTCCTGTGGGGCCTCGCCCCTGCCCAAACCCACGCCACATCCCCTCCTTGTGTCCTTGGACAGCCCCTCCCATCCCCTGCTCCCAAATGCACTTCCCATCCCCCCACCCCGAGTTCCCTCTTGTGTTGCAGATTTCTGTTCACTCAGAATTGTAAATGTTTAGTTGTGACCATGACATATTGTTTGGGTCAGTGTTCCTTTCCAAGGCATACTAATATATTATGGTTATTATATATGAATATATTTAATGACATGGAAAAAGTTGTGGATTTTTTTTAAGGTTTTTTTTTTTCCTGTTAGAGTTGTAATGGACCCAGATGGAACTTGTAATTTGGGCCCCACATGATAGAACTAAATTCAGATATCATTAAATAAACTCTTGTATACTGTTCTGTCTCCAGTCTTTCTTGGTGGCCTGAGCTATGGGTGATGGGCACGTGGGGAGGCAGAACAGTGAAGTCTTCCCACAGCATTAAGGAACGTGGCCTCTTGCCTTAGGACAACTCCCCAGTAAGACAGAGCCCTGGATTTTTATTTACTTTTTGGTAAAGAGCCCTAACTACCCCCCAAAAGAGGAAAAGGGCAGCTTGCCTTGGAGAGTCTGAGGGACTTGCTGGCTCTGAGTGCTATTTTGAGCTAAAAGGCTCTAAAATGGTACAATACGTATTTCAGTCACCGCTCCTGGGGTAGATCCATGCTGTTCCCTGGAGCTCCCAGACACGGAGGAACTTAGGGTACAGGGAAAAGAGGGTTTCTTCTCACTTGCCCCACATGCAGCAGCAGGGAGAGAGCAACCTTTGACCTTTCCTTGTTTGATTTTGAACCTGGAAGTCATTTTTTTTTTGCCTTTTATATAACTTGTTTCTTAAAGCCAAGTAGAGACCCACAAGGAAATACAACAGGGTTGGTGAAACTCAAGAGATCTTGCAAAAGGCATTTTTCCAATCCATTGCTGAAGGCTTCATGTGGTGCACAGACTGGGCCGGTGCCAGCACCACACAGCTACCAGGAGCTGAGCTCACTGGGTTTCAGAGAGGCTATATTTAAACCTCCAAATGGTTGTGATTTCTGTATTAAATAAACAATTCAGCCATTAGGAACACATTGTGTTGCCATGCAGAGTGGAGCTGATGGGTACCAGGAAGCGATCATTTCTGCACCCAGCTGTTTCCAAGACCAGGCTCAGCCACAGCCTGGTCTGGACCCTCAGTGATGCGGATTCCACTGGCCGCCCTTCCTTGAAAGGCCCAGGAAGCCTTACCTTGCCATGTGGCAAGCTGGCTGGAGGTCAGCTGCTTCTTAGGATGATACTGTGATGGCCCAGCCTCCTCAGGGGCCTGGCTGCAAGGATAAGGAGCTGGGCGCTCAGAGCACATCCATGGACCGAGGGCATACCAGTGAATCTCAGGAGTGAGTCCCTGCTGAATGACAATGACTGACAGTGGTTAGGTGGGGACAGGGCAGGTCTCAGTTGCTAAGGCCAAGGGTAAGCAAGCCTTTTCTGCAGTCTCAGACATTCACCAGGGCCAGCTGGACTGCTGGCAGGATTTAGGACCCACTGACACCCGGGCTAAGAGGTTTATGATGCACTTGGCAGTTTCTCAGCTATGGCCATTTTAGGTCAAGGGTCCAGTTCCCAAGGACTTTCATGATGTTGCTTTTCTCTGTCTAGAAAGTTGTCTGTGCCTGTGAGTGCTGTGCGTCTTTTGGGACTCCAGGACACACAGACCCTGTGCTGGCTGGTACAGCCCCAGACCCATGGCCTACGGGAAACACTGCTGATCAGAATGAGAGCCATGAACAGCCACCTCACAGGGTCTCGCATTCTGGCTGAGGAGACAAGGCATTGACATCTGTCCAACTTGAAATGAGCTGCATCACTGCTAAGCACTGGCCCAAGGTGGTGGGAAAAGCCCATTTTAGAGTCTAGAATGGTTAGGCACAAGAAAGCCCAGGATCCTCATCAGGAATCCTGGGGCCAGTCAGAGGGCCTGCCTGGCCATCCGAGCAGCTGTCAGGTTGGCTCCCATTTACCAGGCCCTCTCTCTGTCCCTGCATCTCCCAGGGACAGGGCCTGGTATGGGGATGCCCACTTGCAGCAGACACACCCCTTGCTCTCAGATTTTGTTTAATACACATCTCTTTCCGTGTTCTTTTTAAGACTAAATAAAGACATGAGAAATGCGCCAAGAAAAACGGGGAGTGAAAGGAAGAACAGAGCCAGTGAGGAATACAGTACAGGGATGGATTAACTTATTGCTTTAGCACACTGGAGACTCGGCAGGACGGCAGGTCATTTCTGGAAAGAGGTCAATGCCTTTTGTTACTAGCATGTAGTTGGGAGGAAGTCTGAGAAATCGTACAATGCAATCAGAGAAAAGAGTCTCAACACACCTTTTAATATAAATAAGGGGGAACCCCACTTAACTTCAGCTAGGCTCAGTTAGAAAATCCAACTAGATAAGAGATGATTTTCAGTCTGCAGAGGCTGCCAGTGTTATCTCTGAACCCGAGAAAGCAGGAAACAGGATTCTGAGGCAGCGAAGGCACTGTTTTCTGACAAGGAGGGAAAAGAGCAACACAGCCAGCTGCTGCCAGTTCTCTGACTAGTCAGGAGAGAGCTGGTCGGACAGTTCTGGAAGCAGAAGGGCATTAAGGAATTCTGCAGCAGCCCCAAGGAAGGAAAGTTCCAGGGATATGAGCTCAGGAAGAAAGCACAATGCCAGCCAGGCTAGCTGGCTGTGCGCAGCAGAAAAAAGAAGCGCAAGGATTTTCCGTATCAAAGCCACAAAGGCCTGGGTGGAGGCTGTGTCCAGGCAAGGCCTGTGGGGTTTGAAAGAAGCAGACTGTCCTGGGGCTAATGACAGCTAAAGTTGAGTGCAGTTATTAATAATCATGAAGCCGAAATGGAACAAAAGTACCAGTTGTACCTGGGTATCTGGATTTCTTTATATGGTATCCTGACCTAAAATGCTTATAATTAATAATCTGATAAGTTAAACAATTCTTATGCTGTTATTTTAATAAAGTTTATTTTCATTGAAAAAGCACCCGAGGTGATGGGTGCTATGCCCCTATGCTGCTGCTCTGCTTTATGCTAGGGGTGAGGGCTTAAGACGCCACCAGCCAATTCCAGAGCACTTGCTGCAGCTCACTCAGGGCTGTGGTGGTGACATGTCTGAGGAGAAAACCAGGCCTTGCAAAGCATGCTGAAAATACTACTACTACTACATGAGCCACGTTACTCTAGGGTAGGTCATGAGGCATTAGGTCCCCCCAAATGGCACAAGTCAGCCACTCGGATATGCCTTACCACCCCCAGCCTGACAGGGATGGTGGGTGTCTCACGTGAGAAACCCACCCCTTGATGAAGACCAAGGGTGGCTGGGACTTTCTTCCTGGCATGTCTGCAGCCTACACTGCCCACAGCATAGATGGCAGGTCCTTGTACTCTACGCTCCTGGGCAGCTTTCCTCACCCTCCACTGCCCATTGGCCCAGAGAAGTGAAGAAACTTGTCCAGGGTCACACAGCTAGCAATGCTAGGGCTGTGCCTAGAGCCCATTCAGCCAAAAGAACAGAAGCTGCTGTGTGCAGACATCGGCTCAGTGTTTTGCTTGAAAGGGCCTTTCAGTGTGATTGAGCCAGGACGCCATGGCTCTGGTTCAAAGATGCCCCACGAGTTGCCGGGGCTCCGTGCTGAGCAAGTCAAGAGGAGGTGAGAAAGTCAAACAGGCTGTCAATGCCACCTCCCCTGAGCCCCCAAGTGGGGGGCTCCAAGGAGATGCTGTTTGTACAGATTTGGGGTTTCACACAGGACTGGTGATGTGGTTCTGGGAATTCTTGGTCTTCCTTTGGGTGATCCATTAGCAACCACCCCACCCTGACAAGAATCGAATCCCAGGGTAAGTTTTGTCCAAAAGCCCTGGTCTCCATGCTGGTCTCTCTCCTTCAGGAACTTACCCACCTGCAACAAGCTGCTTCTCCCTTCCCTTCCCTTTGCAGCCAGGCTCCCTGACAGCAGGGCTCTTTGCCATGGCTGCCCTGGCCCTCATCTGCTCAGCCTCTTGTCACCTCCCCACTGGACATGACCCCCACCATCCTCCTAAGTCTGCTGCAAGGGCCTCAGCATTGTCAGGAGGTCAGTGGGCATCGGGGTCCAAACAGACAGGAGAGCTCTTTTGCCTGGCTGGCTCACTTTCACATCCTCACCAGTTCATCCTGTTGTTCTAGGTTCAAAGCAGGTGGTAGGATCTTGGACTCTGGACTTGGAGACCATATGGCCCACAGGGCCCAGACTTGGGTTAGAGAGAATCATTTTCTCAGCTAAGCCAAGGGGCAGGCCCTGTGCTTGCACGTATAACTCAGTGCTCACAGCAGCCATACCAGGTGGGAAGGGGGTCTCCTTTCCTCCATTTTCTAGATGAGGCTCTGGTCACAGCTGGTACATGGTGTGGTCCTTTGGGCTATCTCTGCATATTTCAGGCACTCTGCCATCAGGAACCTCCTGCCCCTGTGCCGGAGCAGGGCTGGGTAACTAGTTCAGGGCAATGAGTTATAAGCAGAGGTGGTGGATTTGCTTTTGGGCTGACCATGTCACTACTGGCCTCCAGAATTTCCTTTTCCTCTGCCATAGAGTCCTCAATAACTGTCCCATTGGCCTGGGTTCTGGAGTAAGGAGATATGTCAGAGCTGAGCAGCTGTCTGGACCCCTGGACCCCGGATCTCCCTAACACATCTGGAGTCTTTGGTCTCAAAGTTCTAGGAAACAACACCACACCAGGCTGCACTGTGGCTTCCTTCCTGGTGGTTGTGCTTGTCCTGAGGGGACTTCTCAGATCACATTTGAGGAAATCCACAGGAGATTCTCCCACCCCAAGTCCTACCACAAGCCCATTTTTTTTCCTCAGTGAAACTGTGTACTTTGGCAATTACTCTGTCATTTTCCTCCTTCTGACATGAGGACAAAGCAAGCCAGCTGCCCATCCTGCTTCCTGTACAGAGAGAAGGGAAGGCTGATGATGGGCCTTCGGTGCCCTTCTAGCTCAGAACTCACCTTCCTGTGGGCCTGGCATTCTTTGCAGGCCACCCCACTGGCCTGGCCTTTGTGAGACAGGCACCATTGACAAGCACATGTGCACACATTAAGGGTTGTCAGAACCAGTGTCTGAACCAAATAAAGGCAATGCTCTGGCTGGTTGTGGTAACACATGCCTGTAATCTTGGCTACTCAGAAGCCTGAGGCAGGAGGATCACAGTCTGAGGCCAGCCTGGGCGACTTAGTGAGATCCTGTCTAAAATAAATAAGTAATGGCGGCAGATGTACTTCCGTGGTAGAGCACCTGCCTGGCATGCATGAAGTCCCAGATTCAACCCCCGGTACTGCAAATGAGCAAATGAATGAATGGTGACATTCTCCTCACATTGTAACTGCATCTATCTATCAACAGCACTCCCTACACGACCTCACTGGATTCTGGCCTCTTAGATGTTTCGGCCTTGAATAACAAGTTTACTATCACAGAGAAACTGAATAAGAATGTGTCTGAAGGATGAAGGTCCCCCGAGTAGAGCCGAGTAATACTTCTGAGCAGTGGCAGCCAGCACCACTAAGTGTGCTGAACCCCTTGGGGTGCCTTGGGCAGGGTGGGTGGTGGGATGGCAGTTAACTCTCAGACATGGATCTCCTCGGCCCTTTCCGTACAATCTCATGTCACTCCACTACTGGAGTGACAGTGGACACTGGACACAAAATGGCCATTCATTTCCCACATGGGCACACAACTGACTTTCCCAAGCAGACCAGATGTCAAGGTTACAACTGCCTTCTGGATACCCAGCACACTGGGGTGGCTGCAATCCACTGGCAGCACAGGGGCAGTGGTCACCTGAGGGGCCTCTGGTTAGCACCAAAATGACTAAGGTGGAGACCAGAAGAGCCACACTGGGCCAGTGTTCTAGCTCTGTGCCTCTAGTGAAGCAGTGTACATCAAGAGTTCAGAGCTTTGGGAGAGTTTATTGAGAGTAGGTTTTGCATACCAAAAAGATGCTGGGCTTTTATTGGGCACTGGCAGGTGTCACAGCAGGTGGTCCCTTTAATGCTATTAGTTGGTTGGCCAGACTGCAATGACCACAATAGCCACGAGCAGCAATAAAATCACCATTATCATCCCTGAAAAACAAAAGCAGAATATGTCTCTTTTAGTGATCAGACCAGAACAGCAATGCACATTCTATCAAGTACCTACGGAGAGGGAGGCAGACACAGCTCTGGCTTTGCAGGCTGGTGAGTGCAGCAGGCAGGGCCACCAGGGAACCCTGAAACAGCCCTGCCCCTAGAGAGCTGTGCCACTGCTCCAGACTGCGAGACTGAGATGCTGGTGCAGACAAGTGAGGACGTGGGTGCCTGGAAACTCCAGTTCCAACCATGTGGTTACACAGGCACAGATCCTTGCTACAAAGTCAGTATCCATGCTGGACACAGGCCTGAGAGAATGCAGTCCTTTGCTCACTGCCTTCCATGTTCACCGACCCAGTGTTTAAGACTGTGCACTTCCCACACGCTAGGAACTGCAGGGGACCAGTGTAACCTAACAGAGACAGTGCAGGGCCACTACAAAGCAAGCATCCAAGCTGGATGTGGTGGTGCTGGCCTATAATCTCAGTGTTTTGGGAGGCTGAGGCAGGAAGATCACAAGTTTGAGCCCAGCCTGGGCAACTTAGTGAGACCCTGTCTCAAAAATAATAATACATAAAAGGCTGGGGATACAGCTCAGTGCAAAGGCCCTGGTCACCCAAGACTTCCTTGGCCGCCAAGGCCCAAAGCGGGGAAGCAAGCAGATGAGGAAAGGGACATGAAAAGTAACAGGGGGAGCCAAGTGCACAGGGTCACGAGGCCTGGCCAGCAGGGAGGCCTGTGGAAGACCAAGGAGGCTAAGACGGTCAGGATTCCAAGAGTTCAACTCCTTATTCTGCCCAGGAGGCCACAGGTTTCAGGCCAGTCACCAGCATGAGCCACCCTCTGGGCAAGCACTGGCCACCTCTGGTTATTTACATTGGAATAATTAAAATTAAATAAAGTTGAAATTCAGTTTCTCAGCTGCCCTAATCATCTTTCAGTGGTTCAATCATTGTGCACAGCCAGTGGTTACTGTGGCGGACATATATCCCTAAGACTACAAGTTTTGATATGGTGTGATTTCATTGTTAGTTTCTGAATTCTAAGTATTTTTATTTTTTAATTTTTTTTTGGTATTGGGGATCAAACTCAGGACCTTGAGTTTTCAAGGCAGGCAGCGGCACCACTGAGCTAAATCCCTGGCCCCTAAATATTTTTAAATGGTCAGCAATGATTTCTTTCTTGGCCCATCATTACTTAGAAGTATGTTTTTAAATTTCCAATTATACTGAAACATTATAATAAAAATATATGTCTTTTAAATTCAGAGAGCTGTGCGTGGTAGCACATGCCTGTAATCTCAGCACTCTGGAGGCTGAGGCAGGAGGATCACTGTGAGTTTGAGGCCAGCCTGGGCTATATGAGTTCAAGGCCAGCCTAGACTACATAGTGAGACCCTGTCTCAAAACATCAAAACATTAAAAAAAAAAAATTCAGAGATAATATATTGTGATGTGAAAAGGTAGTCACAATAATACTTCTGTGGTTTGCTACCTACATTAGTACTTGAAGGAAATACTAAATCTCAACAAGACATTCATGAAAGAAGAATGCAACTTGCCTTTCCATTCAAATCCACAGACTTCCTGAATTTGATCCACAGATCCTTAGGGTTCAATGTATATCACATAGTGTAAGCTTTAAACCTAACTCATGAAGTACAGCTTGCCCATGGTTTTGAATATTGAGAAAGGAATTAAAATATATGTTAAGCTTCCTTGTCACTTCCCTGGGTGAGTTTTCCTAATGTGCCTTCTTTCTTGGGAATCCTATCTTGTGAGAGTTTCTCCTCTCTAGGAGCCAGGGCTTCTCTTTTTCCCTGTCTTCATGGAACACAAAAACGAAGCTTCCACATCAGGGATCTGCAGACTACAAACTGCAGTCCATGGATCAATTCTGTCTGTGGTCTGTTTTTGCACAATCTATGAGCTAAGAATAGTTTTTATATTGTTAAAGGGTTGTCATAAAGGTAAAAGGAGGAGGAGATGTGACATGCCATCTGTGGTCTGCAAAGCCTAAACCATTTATCATCTGGCACCTTATAGAAGATTGCTGACCCCTGCTGTGTGTCACCAGGACTGATAATGACCCAGCTGCAGCATCAGTTCATTCCCTTGGGTTCTGGTCTTCAATCTGCTCATTTCTTTTATCTAGGGATTTCCTTCCTTCCTTGTGAATTCAGCTATGCACTAACATTGTGCGGTGGAGTATAATATTTTAGCTAGGATTTCTTTTAAGACGCTTGCAGTGAGAAAGGGTACATGTGTGATATTAGTTTAACTTCTAGCCAGAACTAGAAAAATACATCTTTTCATTTACTTCTATCTCCTGAAACATCTTCAGGTTGACCAAAAGTTTCATGGGGATGGGAGCCGCAGTTTGTCACTCTGCTCCATGAGTGATGTTTGGTTGAGAACTTGCTCCTGGCTGGGGTGAAAAGATTACGTGGTGCAGTATGAGGAGAAGAAGAAGATGTGGGGTGGTGGACAGAGCAAGGGGACCTATAGGGCCTGGGCTCAATCCTGGATAAGGGGAGGGCTGACTGAGGAAACAAGGGAGATGAGTAGCAGAGTTTGGGCCAAGGCATGACCCCTGGGTGTGGTGCAGGCGGGCTCACAGTGGGGGAAACGCTGGAGGCCGGAATGCTCCTTGTGCAGCAAGTGGTCTCTACTGAGGCTGTGATGGCCCAGGGCTGAAGCTCATTCAAGTGACCCTGACTTCCAAACCAGGGTGATAATGAGAATAGCTAAACGGGTGACTAGAACAAAGGAATAAAGAATAACAGATGGGGAAGACCAAATCATCCACCTGGTTTATTCACACACATGAAGCTTGAAACACAAGGGAAGAGGCCTTGAGGTGTGGGTGGCTCCCCCAGCTCAGACTCCGACCACTGCAGTGCTGTGCTCCTATGCTCCACGTAGCCCAGGCCCCAGCCATCTTTTTCAATGGAAAGTGATCAAGTTGCCTCCTTGCTTCAAGGCCTCCGATGGCTTACACAGATCAGACACTGTGGTGGCCCTGCTGCCCCGCAGCCACACTCTGTGACCTGTGCTCTGGCCACTGGGCCTTTCACTCTCCAACATCCCAGGCTCCTGACTGCCCAGAGGCTGTGACACATGCTGTCCTGTCTGTCTAGAGTTCTCCCCTTCTTGCCCCAGCCAGTCCCCCAAACCTCAGCATTGGTGTCGTTTCCTGGACTAACTCCTTGACCTGAAATCAACAGTACCCCTTTGCCACAGTACCCTTTGTCTCCACAGTAACTATCATCAAAATCATTTGGCATCAGCTCCTGTGCATCTCTCCTCTGCAACAGGGACTGTGCCTTCTTGTTCAGCACATATCCTGGTTTCAACCCTGAGCTGGCACACAAAAGAGGTACCATGTAAATATCATAAAGAAATAAATTCACTGAGTATTTGAGAGGGACAAGAAGAGACAACATGAAAGACATAGGAGTGGCAGTAAACAGGGAGGGAGAAGCTTAGAAGCTATGTCAAAGATGATAGTTAAGGAAAAAGTCCAAAAAGTGGTCAGTGTCAACAAACAAATACTGTGGAGAAACACTAAGACAGGGAAAGCTCCTGGGTTCTAGACACCTTTAATAGGACAGTTTTAGCAGAAAGGTGGGTGGGCCTATTGGAATTATTAATATAAGAATGATGTGTGTGGCGGTATGTGTGTGTATTCAGGGCCTGGCATACTGGGCAAGTGCTCTATCACTACTGAGCCACACCCCCGGCCCCAGTGATGCCTTTTAAAAGAGGATCTGTCATTGAAACTGTGAATTAGACAAATTGTGCCTCTGTGAAGGGGTACACACTACCCATGAGTAATCAAAACACAGTTCACTCTTGACACCTTAGATGGTGATTGATAACGTGATAAACTAGGTCCTTGCCCAAAGATGAAAGGGGGAACTTTAAGAGCAATGACAAATGACATTTTTACACCTTAAACCCTTAAACAGCAAACACTGGTTCTCAGGGTGTGTGTGTGTGTGTGTGTGTGTGTGTGTGTGTGTGTCAACAGGCTTAGGTAAACTGGTGTGTACTGAAGGTCAGCCGAGGAAGTCATTTTAAGATGGCAAGTGACAGTGATAAGCAAAAGCCAACTGCAGCCTTTGTGCCTAGGAGAAGGTATTTACAGACCTTATCGCTGCAATCCTTTCTTGTGAAGAAGTGGCTCTCTTGGAATGTGAGCACAGGTCTGGTACCTTCCTGATGGGGCCTCTCTCCTCTGAGGGATGTTTTGGGAAGAGTAACTAGGACCTTTCCAAAGCTCCCCTGGACACAGAATATGCTGGGATGCCTGGTTTTGTGCTACAGGCTATGTGTATTGCCTCTCCTCGATCCCCACAATAAATCAATCTCCTTTCCCCTTCAATCTCGAGGAAGTGGAAGCTCTGGAAGTGAACTGTCCTGACTAAGAACCTGGAGCTGGTAAGAGGATGAGCTAGAATGGAATCCAGGTGGGTCTGGCAGGCGGCCATGCTCTTGACCTCTCATTGCACCAGTGGAGCCATTCCAGGGGTCCTGAGCCCCCACAGAGCATGGGGCTTATGAAGCAGAGACCCAGACTCCTTGGGGCTCCAAAAGTGGGATATAGAATTTCTTCTCTTTTCATCCTCTCCCCTTTTCTCTGTCCTTCACTTTTTTATGTTGGAAAACTAAACAGACACAAAAGTAGATAGAAGAGTACATGGAACCGTGATGATCCCATCACTCAGCTTTAGCAAGGGTCAATTCATGGCCAGTCTGGTTTTATCTGCATGCTCACCTGTACCCTGTCTCCACTGTGTAGCATTTGGAAGCACATCCTAGGCACATTTTATCCATAGGCATTTTAGTGTCACTAAAAGATAAGGGACCATGTTAAAGAAGCACCACCACACACACATAAGCACAGAGAGTTGAAACTTCGCAAAGGGAGAGGCAGGGCAAAGCCTCCAACCCATACCAGCCTCCAGGACGCAGGAGGGGCCTGATTCGAGC